CAAAAAACTCAGTTTTCAAAAAACTTAATCTAGAAAACTCAAACCAAACACACTGTTACTATTCTTCAATATATATGTCAATGCCAAAGTTTGGTTGTTGGTGCCGTTATGTTTGATGTGGTTGGTTTGGTTGGAGCAGTATCAATGGACTTTTCAAGATATTCATCATTGTGTTTCATCGTTCGAGAATCGGCTACTAATAACTTTGTATAGTTGGTTAGAGAGGAGGGAGGATCTGGATTTGTTTGTTTTCTTAGATTTCTTAGATGATGTTATTGGTTAGGTGCTTTTAGGGTTGTTTTGTATTGGGAGTTTCTTATATATTGTCTTGATTTTTTCTTAATAAAGTCTATTTATCAAAAAAAAAAAAATTATGTTCACTCAAGTGAGTACACTTGTTTAATTTATACACATCTAGAATAGTCAAAACATGTGGGAAGCCAAACAATATATAGGATGGTGTCAAAGATTTTTTTCAATAGTTACCTAATATCTGATTGAGTAGCAAGACTTGGTTTGGATTAATTTGATTTAGTTATATAATTTGGTTTGGTATGGTTTGATTTAGTTATATAATTAATGTGTGGAATGAGAGATCAAACATGCTTCGGTTGGGTGAATTGGGAGGTCTGAAAACATGTTGGCAAAAATAAAAACAATAATGCCCATAAATTCTATTCTATGGTTTGAATTTAAAAAAAAAATAAAAAATGACCTCATCGATTACCCTAAAAAAAAATTGAAAAGTGACCTAGTACATGATTGGAAGAATGGGTCCGGGTTGAACATGGACCGTTGCACACCACGCATTGAATTGACCAATTGCCTATACTAATTATATGTTTGAATTGTAGAAATCAAATATGAGGAATGGAGTTCTATTATCAGAATTTTTATAACACCAATAGTAAGTTATTATGTGAATGTTATTTAAGCATCTGACTTAGTTACAAAAAATTGAAAAAGTAATAAATTTTGAAATATTGTAGCCCGTCTATTTAGTTAGAGAAATTGACATTATATAAACATATGATTATAGTTATCGAATAAATTTGATTTTTTTTAGATACTAAGTTTTTTTCATAAGAACTTAGAAGGTAAAAATAAGAGAATAAAAAAATAAAAATCATCAAAATACATCCTATAAAGAGCTCATAACGAAGAATTGGACAGTCCAATCTAGTTGTGTCATTAGAGCTCATTTTTGTTCAGTAATTACTTAGTTAACGGTTGATTTGTCTCAAATTGAGCTCCAATGAGCATAACCTAGGGCTTGAAGGTGTGCACCCTCTAGATTTCAGATTCAATATTTACTAGCTGCAATAAGCTTTCTGGAGCCACTCCTAATAAGACATTTGTTCTGGTTTTAAATGCCGCCGTTGCAAGTAGGCGGTGAGATTAATCTCCTAGAATTAATTGAGGTGCGCATAAGCTGATTCGAACATTCAGTTAAAAATAAAATAAAATAGATACATTAGATGTGTTGTTGTTAGGCATGAGTGCAATACTTAGGTGCTTGTAAGCGTGAAATTAAGGGTTCAACTCTTTCAAAATATTAATGTAATAACTAACAACTAATTTTTGCCAATAAAAATTAAAATAAAAATTCATTTTAAGTTGAATTATGGTTTGACATATGGTGCTGTTGTCGTTATATAAGCTTTGTTCGGGTGTAGCTGATCATTAAAAGCACCAAGATGACAGGGCGTCCATCAGAATGCAAATCTGGTTAGCGGATTAAATAGCTCATTCATTGCGCTAATTCCCAAAGTAGATAGCCCATCAAGCTTGAATGACTATAGGCCCATTAGTCTTATTGGTTCCCTGTACAAAATCCTGGCTAAAGTCTTGGCAAATAGGATGAAGCAAGTAATGCCAAAGATCATTAGTGAGACCCAATCAGCATTCACTGCTGGAAATCAAGGATTTAGCGGCGTTTAAAAAACGCCGCGATAGGTCCTAAAAAGCTATAACTTTATGACGCTTTAAAAACGTCGCTATATGACTATAGGCGGCGTTTTTAAAAAAGCCGCTAAAAGTTCTACTAACGTTAACATGACATCACCATACTATTTAGCGACGTTTTAAAACGCCGCCGTATCTCTTTTTAAAAGAAATGGAGCGCTTGGTGTGACATTTAGCAACGTTTTTAGAAACGCCACGATAGCCTTGTTTTTTTTTTTTCTAAATTTTATGTAATTGAACTAAAAAATCCCTGTAATAAAACTGAAAAATAACACTAATATAAAGTTGCTATGTTTAAAAGCCTTCCTATTACATTAATGTACATAAAAGTGAGTGGTGCATCTCCCAACTTAACATTGCCATTCACCCAACATACATATCCACAAGAAATGCCGAAAACCAGAGGAATTAAAACAAGCATATCATATGATCTCCACACATACAAATTCTTAATTGAGTGCTGAAAAAAAAAATACAAATTGACTCTCTCTCTCTCTCTCTCTCTCTCTCTCCTGTAGAATATAAGTTCTAGAATAGGGCAGCAGAAAAAAATACAAAAAAACCCTAAAAAGAACCCATTAATTCAACAAAAAAATCAGCTCCGACTGTTCCCAAAATAGCAACAAATGTCCCAGCAGTAAAACAAAGTTAAAAACAACCTGCAAAACACACATTAAACAAGATCCTCAACTTTCAAATTGAACATGTAGAATCAATAAGGCCTATTCTTTTTTCTTTTTCTTTTTTTTGTTTTGTTTTGTTTTGTTTTTTTTGTTTTTTTTTGATTGCCAACAAAAAAGAATTGTAACTTAACCATGAGGTAAGGGTCTCCATTCAATATGGAAGGGTCAAGCAGACAGAACCATGATGTAATGGGACATTATAAATTAACCCACTTACAGAATTCATGTGAAGACTCGTCAGGTCTACATACTAGACTCGTAATGTTCTAACCAACTACACAATGGCTAGTCAGGTCCATGACAAAATACTAATTTCCAACACCAAATCACATCATGTCTTAATAGAATTAGAAAAGTGAGAAATGAAAAACTAGTGATGTTTAGTACTTTTACCTTGTTAGTTCTTCTTCTTCTTCTTCTTCTTCTTCTTCTTCTTCTACCCTTTCTTTGAAAGGTAAACCTATATTTAATAAGGACAAGTATTGTAATTAATAAGATATTGTATTGTCAAAAAAACTTTGATTAAATGATTGCTCACCTCTTGGGATGAAAATGCATGAGATTGTTGTTGATGTGACATTGGCCAAATAGTGGGACAACTACTAAGTGAATCAACAACCTATCATTGAATAAGAGGCTAAAGTTGTATAGTAGCTCTGGACAATTTAAAGTAATAACTAGTAAAAATAATGAAAATACCTACTGCCTATGTACTGGGTTCGAAGGTGCAATAGCTGGTGCAACGGGCACGCCCGCAGCTTGCAATTGAGATTCCAAAATCCCAATTCGTGACTGAAAATTTGCACGTACTTTCTTTAGTGTGTGTGTGCGCGCGCGCCTACGAATTTGGATGCAACTGACAAGAATTTTCCTCCTATTGTCTTCTTGTTTCTCTTAACGTCCAAGTTCTCAACTGTCTAATATACCTACGTTACCCGTTCCCCCAATCCAACAGAAAATGGTAAAGGCTAATCCTCTTAATCCACATATTATCTCAAACTACTGTGTCAGTCCATACCAAAAAAATTAAAACATTGTCAATTTGTTCATGCCCTAGTCAAAGAACCTATGACAAGAAAGCACACACAGGCAAAACAAAGAACAATCTCTATAATGTAAACTGAGTTTCATAACCAAAGGACTAAAAATAATAATATGCACGAATGAAAACATAGCGATAAGATTTTAAGGATGGAAGAGCTGTGCATGTCCTCAGTTCTATTATATATATCAATAAGAAACAAACAACACACTATATGGGAGCAAGAGAAAAGAAGTTTGACCTTGGGATTTGTAACAATGACTCCAAATGCACTGAAAGTATCATACAAAAGTTTCTCATCCACATCCTGCAAAGAAAATCAGAGCTAGGTTTGAAATTGAAAAACTATGTCATAGGCATATAGCAGTTTACAAGGCATGATAAATGTAAGGTTGCCTATCCATGTTTACCAATTTTCAAGATGTAAAATAATTATGACATGCAATACAAAAAAAATAAAAAATAAAATAAGAAAGGGCACGCAACACGACACATTATTTGACAACTTGGTCTCCATCATTAGAAAGGTACAATTGCTTCCATTCAGCCAATCCAATTATGTGAATGGACATAGTAACTTTCTTCTAAAGTTTTTATACACTGAATTGTTGAATACATTTTCTTGATATCCAGCAGAAACAATAGATAGACAACCAATGACTATGTTTAACAGTTCCCATCGTGACAAAACATCATATTTAAGTACTAAAAAAAAGTAAAAGCAAAAATTACTCAAATAAGAATAGCAATTAAGAAGCATCAGACCTCCCATATTCATCAACAAATTTGCTTTTATACCCTTAAAAGTGATTGAAATATATTTGATGGTGCCCTGCAAATTTGCAAGACTGTTATTACTCTACCTAAATTCAATAAAAACCATGATTTGTTTGAGAAGGTAATGCTTGAACTCGCTCTCGACAAGGATAATCACAAGGGAAGGATGCCAACGCCACAGCCGAGTTCACTGTCTCAGGTTAACCCCCACCACACCTTACCGGTCCCACTCTGCAGCCCCTCTGCTATCTGAAGAACACAGCTCTTGAGGATTTTGCACTTCAACATCAAAGTCATACCAGCATAATTGCTAACACAGTTAGATGCTCATCATTACACAACTTAAACATAAAGAGCTGTATCCAGAAGAAAATACATACTGTTTGCTCATGATCAATAATATTAAGTCGTGGTTTATAGCTCAAATCAACAATTTGCTCCCAAAGGAGTGGAATTGAACCTTGAATCTGAAGCAAATTAAGGAGTAGCTGTTACTCATTGGTTCACTTGCCAGAAATTTACTTTGGCCAGAGAAGAAAAAAGCAAGTCAGCCAGTGAATTGGTCCACTTAAGATATTGAGTTGAAAAGATATTAACCGGAACAATCCGTATCTGAAGGCACATTTCCTGTGGAAATAATACCTGTAAAAATGAAGACATAGAACCTTCAAGGTTAGCCCCTCTTCTCCACATTCGGGTCCCTCCATTCAACATAACAACCACTTACTACAATGTTTTGCCATAGCCATATTAATAGGAACAAAAACCAGTGATGTCTATATTGCACTACCTAGGCGCCGTGTACACCTCCTTGAAATTAAAGTAATTATGGCTGGGGAATTTTTCAGCTTGAGTTGTCCAGTCTGATAGCTTATGCCTTGGTTAAGTGAAAACACCATAAATAAGAAACTACTCTTGCATCCATAGTTACCTTTAACACGCACGCATGTGCTCATGCATAAACACATGCGCGCGCACACACACACAAAATAAGCATTGAAAAGCTTCAGGATATTCCCTTGTAACAGAGGGATGATAAACCCATCAAGCTGCATAGGAAAAATAAAACATATTAGACAAAGAATTTGTTTCAGTGATCATATTTCAGATGTCCAAATAGGCAACGTTGATTAATCACTTAGAAGTACTTGCTTTGTTTTTTATTGCAAACTTAATGCAATATTTGTTTCCTAAGGAAAGACAGGTGAGTACAAAGCAATGATAACATCTTTTGAACATAAGAAATGTTAACCTTATTCTCAATGAGCTCCTCCAAAAGACAGATTTAGCAGAGTTTATTTCCAGTTTGAAGCAGAAATTCAGGACTGCTGTCCTCCCGGTATCCTAGATGGTGTGAGTTTAACAACAAAAGATTAATATTGCATTAATTCTCTATATTGTTACAGCAGTTATGGCACCTAAATATATAAGAGAAAGAAAACCCTAAACCCATACACAATATATATAGCATATATCATACCTCTGTCATCAGATATGGTGGATATAATATGAGTTGGAGCTCGGACTTTTCCACTCTTAATAGCAGTATTAAGATCCTCAGGGATTTGTGGAGGCTTAAACTTCCTTTGTAGGAGTAACATTGCCCCCCTCAACCTAAGCAAAATGTAAGCAAATGATTTACTAAAACTGGTGGTAGTGAGGAATGCCTACATAATGGCAGTAATGGGTATGAGATGTGCAACAGCTTACCAGCTTCTCAAATGTTTCTTTTATCACAGTTTCAAATGCTTCAAATGAAGTTGGGACAACAGCTCCAGCATCGTGAAGTGCTTGATTCTTGGCTTGTGCAGACTCCATCTCACCACCACTTTTGGCTCCCTAATTTAAGCAACGTTGAGCAAAATTAGAAAATAACAACAAAAATAAAATAAAATAAATAAACAAAAATTATATCCAAGGAAATTTAGCAGTAGCTCACCGCATGACCAAATTGTACTTCCGACTTGAAGAGACGTGCACAAGTTCCATTGACCCAAGCAACCACAGGTTTACTGATTTTCCCCTGTTTCAAGGCTTCCACTAGGGAATACTCATCTCGACCACCAAGTTCTCCAAGCACAACAATCATTTTAATCTGAGTAAATCAGAAAATTAAGTCAGCAAAAGGATAGGAACCAAAATACAAAGAAAAGAAACAGGAAAGTAAGAAAAACCGATAACTATATGACATCTAATGATGCAGAAATTTAGAAGCTAGGTTAGAATAGCTTGGCCTAAGTAGGTGCTTTAGTACTTGAAAGTAGAACCAAACACAAAATTAGAAATTCAGATCTAGCTTCTTTGTAACCTTTAAGCTTGAGGCTGAGACCAATATATTAAAAGATTCACAAATATCTTCATCAACTGAGTGCTTATTGTGGCAGTCAAGCAACAAATAAACTTCACAAGAAAATTTTCGACTTGTACTAGCCAAATATTTTTACAATTAGCTGTTAAGGCAGCTTAGTATGGTAAAAAATTTGTAATAAATTATGCCACAGAAAATTGAATAGCAATATTAGGATCCTTTTATAAAATAGCAGCAATAGGCAAGACGCAGATTTCCACTTTTGAGACCATTTAAATAATTTGTTGTTCAGGTTAAGGCATTAAGCATACATTGTGAAGTTGATCCCAATGCATTGATGCAGATTATGCAGGTAACTTTCTCAATGAGAATAAAATATAGACACACAAAGTTCAACTCTGTGACAGAACCCACCCAACATAGATGAAAACATAAAAGATGAGTGAAAATGTAAAATTGAAGTAAAAACTTAAAACTTTATGAGTGTATTTCATAGTTAACTGAAAAGTTTACACAAATATAAAGAGATTATTTCGGTTATTATATACTTTTAGAGACAAAAAGCAAAAGCCCCCCAAAAAATGGAGTGATTGAAAGATTCCATACCTTTTTTTTTGTATTTGTTGTAAACTTCAGTCCCTTTCTCAAAATCCAAACAAAACAATTTGAACAAACACATATAAACATGTATGTAAAACAAATAAAGAATGAGAGAGAGACCTTGGCTGTAAAACAAAATTTGTCAATCTATTCATATATATGTACATATGTATTTTGTGTTCAATTTTAACATCTACAATGCACATTATGATCTTCAATCGATCAATAGATCTTCAATCGAAACCTACCATACTTGAATTGAATCAATAGATCTTCAATCTGATCTAAGAATGATAAAGTAGATGAAACCTAGCATACTTGAATCGAAAGATTCCATCAGTAAGAAGATCGAGATGAGACTGATCAACACTTAATATGAAGAAAGAGCTGCGAACGCGAACGTAAACACGAACTAGAGAAGAGGCTTGAATCGATCTATGAATGCTTGAATCAATCTGCAAATACGAAGGGGTTCAGCTATGGTTCTACAAATATGAAGGGTTGTCTCTGAAACGAAGGGGTTTGAAGCTAGAGAGAGTGAAATCAAGGGTTTAGAGAAAGAGAGAGCAAGGCTGAGAGTGAATAATACTTGAATCGATCTACGAGTAGATGAATCGATCTGCAAATACAAAGGGGTTTAGCTGCGGTTCTACAAATACGAAGTTTGAAGAGAAGAGAGAGAGTGAAATCAAGGTTTCAGAAAGAGGGAGACTAAGAGAGAATACACTACTTTATGTTCATATGTTAAAAAAATAAAAAATAAAAAAACACATTCGAAGGCGTTTTTAAAACGACTTGAAATTAAAACGGTGTCGTATTGTTAAACAAAAAAATGCGACGTTTATAAAAACGCCGTTAAATGGTAGAAGCAGAGGCATTTTTTTAAACGCCGTTAAATAAACGTCGTTAAATCCCAATTTTCTTGTAGTGATTTATGGGATGAAGGAATATTGTGGACGGGATCCTTATTGCTAATGAGGTAGTTGATGGGTAAAGAAAAATGAATAAGAAAGGTTTGGTGTTGAAACTAGACTTTGAAAAGGCTTATGATTCTATTAATTGGGAATTCTTGTTCACTATGTGCTCCAATTTTAGATTTGGGGAAAGATGGGTGAGATGGATGAAAACTTGTGTAACCTCCACAAAAGTGTCAATTTTAGTGAATGGTTCACCTACCGAGGAGTTTTGCCCACAGAGAGTGTAACGCCCCAAGAAAATACACAACAAAAGTACACTAACAACTGCTCCTTACGGTAAACCAAATTAAATCTTTGACACTTGCATACATAAACATAAGAGATTTACAAAATAATTCCACATGCGAATATATATTCAATGACTTTAGTATATGAATCTATATAGTATGAAAAACATCTAGCCACATATAATAAATGCCCTCAAGGGCTATAACGTCCAAGGCTTAAGCCCGGTTACACAAAATGGTTGCTTGAACCCATATAAATATAGTCTTTGGCTTGCAAAAAAATATAATCACAACAAAACAAGAGCCTTGTGCTATCAACATACATATCCACGCTCTTAGTTTGGCGGAATCACCACATCTTTTCCTGCATAAAATCTCATAGGGTGAGCTTAAAACCCAGTAGAAAATTCTTAACAAATTATATACATTTTATACAAATCTCACAAGATGAAATGCATATGCCATGCCATACTTTTAAAAGAAAGTCGCATTAACATCTTTTTGAAAACCATCGTGCTCAATGAAAACTTGAAAATTTAACAATTTAATAATTTTAAATTAAGCTCAAGGGGCGGTAAATACGGCTCAGGTAATCCCTAGGTTGGTGTCTGCAAGTCGGCATAACTAGCACTACCAAAACCCCACTTTACTGGTAGCTGACCGGAAGGCACGTGGTATTTCCTTCGCGCGCGTTTTCAGTCTTTTACCCTGGACACTCGGGCCAACTTAATCAATTTCATCTACACCCCATATCCGGATTTACCGAAGTTTTTACACCAAAACAATTCAATGAGATCTTGTTTCACAAACATTCTCCTTTTTCAGTGCAAAAATTTTCAAATCTCAATTCAAAACTCATAATAACCAAATGAATTTAAATGTCAATGCAACGTATAACAATACATCATAACATTTTTTCATTTTCAATTCCTTCCAAACAATTTTTGCATTTGTGATTACGATTTCCATTTCTCTTTCCAGTGTAATTTCACAAGATAAGCATATACTCATTTACATCTATCGAGGAGTAGCAACATTCCCACATTTCATGCATTTTTATCAACTTAGTCATTTTATGACTATGCTAACATTTTTGAACAATAAACCTCATAACCAACCATTTTTCATGTTCCCTGAAATTCTCATTTATAAACAACAATATAAAATTTCCAATAATTTATTCATTTTAACACTATAATAAGTAAACATCCATGAATTTTCAACATCTCCTCCAAAAATCTCAAATTTTTAGGTTTTTCCACCAAAACTGGACGCTTCCTCATCTTTTGAAAGAATCTCTCCAAAAACATCTTTCCACAATCAATGTAGCTCAAAATTTTGAAAACAAGGTGTAAATCCACTTTTAAAATCATCAACACACTTGAGCCAAAAGTCAAATTTCAATACCACCAAAGGGAGTTCCAAAATCAACATAATCTTGCAAAAATATATATATAACTTTAAGAAAATCCATACCTCAAGTTTGAAGAAGAAATGAGATGAAATCTCCCAAAATCAACGGTGTTGAAACTTGATTTCCACCGCACAAAACGTAACCCTCGAGAAGTTCTCCAACTTTGATGAAGGGACTAGGATCAAAACTCCAATGGATTTCAAGAAATCAAAGGTATAATCTAATTTGGTGTAGGAAATGTAGAGAGAAGGAAGAGAAAAGTGTTTTAGAAGGAGAGAGAGAGATGTGTAAAAGTGAGATACACTCAACCCAAAGAGAAGAAAAGGAAAAAAAATTCAGACTCAGCGCTTTTCCGCACGTGTGCGCCTTTTCCCGCACGTGCGGCACGTACTTCTCGCAGGTGCAACACTCACCCCCACACATGCGGCACTCTCTCCTGCACCTCCTTCTGCACGTGCATATAAAGCAGTAGCCAACCCATAATTTCCCTTCCTTACTGCACGTGCGGCTTTACTTCCCGAACGTGCGACCACATTCTTGCATGTGCTCCCGTACTTCCCGCACGTGCCCCGCACGTGTAATTTTTCCTTTTTGCCCCTAAGCTGCACCAGTGAGTCCCGGACACCCCAGATCAAATTTCAAGCCCTTCGAGACAAGTAAAACTCAACCCCAAAAAAAAAAGGACCAAGAAAGGGAATTAGAGGAAGTTTTCGAGAATGATGAATCCAAATGGTCGACGAGACCTTAGATTAATTTCTGACACTACTCCGAGCAAGATAAACACAATTAGAAGAGAAAGAGACAGGTTACGTACTCGGGTATCACAGAGAGGTCTACGACAAGGTGATCGATTATCTCCTTTTCTTTTCAATATAATGGCCGAGGGTTTGAATATCTTGTTTGACAGAGCCAAGGAAATAAGTCTAATCATAGGTGTTGTCATTGGTAATAATAGGATAAAAGTAGCACATCTGCAATTTGCTGATGATATAATATTATTTTGTGAGCTGAATGGGTGGAAGTGGTGACTATTAAAAGAATACTCCGGTGTTTTGAACTAATATCAAGGCTGAAAATTATTTATAATAAGAGTGTGATTGCTGATATTGGTGTGGATGAAGAGCTACTGCAAGGTTTTGCTTCTCGATTAAATTGTGCCCATCAAAACCTGCCTTTAAAGTACCTTGGACTACCTCTCGGAACTAATCCTGGCAGAAAGAGTACATGGAAGCCAGTCTTGGATAGATTTAAACAGAAATTACCCACATGAAAGAGAAGGTTGTTTTCGTTTGTGGGGAGGTTGACTTTAATTAAGTCTGTTCTAAGTAATTTGCCTCTTTACTGCTTGTGAGTGTTCAAAATACCAGTAGGGGTGGCAAAAGAAATAGATAGAATCGAAGCAAATTTCTTATGAGGGGGATCAGATCTTAGAAGAAAAGTGCATATGGTTAGTTGGGAAGTCATTCCCAGAAGCAAGAATTTAGGTGGTTTGGGAATTAGAAGACCCACAGATATGAATAATTGCCTACTGCTAAAATGGTGGTAGAGGTTTGGGGCAGAACACCAGACTTTGTGGAAGGATGTTATTTGTTCAAACTATGGTATGAGGAGTGGAAGCTGGTTGCCTTATATGGAAGGAAATATCAGAGTTTCAAAAATTTGGTTTGATATAATTAGTGTAGTTAGAACTCAGCCTGAGTTATACAACTTCTACCTTGAAAGCACTGTAATTCAGTTGGGGAATGGTAGGAGAGCTCAATTCTGGTTAGATAAATGGATAGGGGAGGTGTGTCTTAAGACTGAATATTCCAGATTATTATTTTCTTTGTCCACTGATAAGTATGGAATAATTTCTGATTTTTATACCAGAAGAGAAGAGACTCA